CTCAACTTAGAGTATTATGGGGACGTCACTACTCCCCTATTCTACGTTACTACAAATGTGTACGAGTAATTGGGTTTGAAAAGGGTTTTGATGCCAATTATCGGTTATTTTCGAGGTTGTTATTTTCCTTAATTAGATTGCATGTGTTACTCTTATTGCAAGGTATTTGAAATTATGTGTTCGTACTTTATCACTGATCGTTAGATATATGTTTTAGATTAAGTACTATATTGTAGGTCAATTTGAATGGTATCCTAGAGATTATTAAGGAAAATTTTAAATGGACAATGTTGCAAGTGTAGACTTATTGGCCATATGATTTTGACTACTTTATATGAAATCACGGATTCAAATTTGCTGCACCAAATTGGGAAACCGCAAATGTAAATGACCATATCATATCTTTAGTGGTTGATTGGGGTATTCAATCTATTTGATCCTCATCCAAGCGCACTTTTACCCAAACGAATTATTTGAGTAGTTTTTACTTAAATAAATAATTAGGATTTTTAATTACCATGACTAGCAGCTGCATTCCTTTTTACTTTTCCATATTCAACCAATTTTGTGTATGGTTGTTTAATGTCTTTCCTTTTTTTTCAAGTTTTGAACCAAATCAATTAAATGATGTTTTCATTTTTAAATTTTTTTTTGTTTTTTGAATAAAGGTTGCACAAAGGGTTTGCTTCAACGACTTTACAAAGAACTGGAGTCTACAGAGGATTGTTTGCATTTATTTTTTTTGAGGCCCTGATAATTGTTTGCAACTAATTTAGGTTCAATGTTTTTTTAAAAAAAAATTTGGGTATAGTGCTACATAGGGGAGAACCCCTTAGAAATAAACGATATTCTAATAACAATTAAACCCCCCTTTACTGCCGAAAAAGCATTTACAAAAATAACGATAACAAAACCCATTAATCTACCTCATATAATGACTTAAGATGCGTTGTTTGTCTAAATTTGAGATCGCTGTCTAATTTGAAGAAGTTACTTAAAAATAATATATGATTAAGATTGTGAGTTTTCAAATTTAAGCGTAATACCTCATTCATACAACTATACTATTTTATCCATTGCATCCGTTACTCCACACGTACACACGGTTTCATCAATTAATTGTTCTTTTGGAGGTAAATTATTACATGTTCTACCTTACTGTGTTATGTTGTATTTTTTTCAAACCCACCTTGTTGCCAATACATAATCCATGCAATAATTCTCTTTTTTTTAACCATGCCTGACTTTTACTGTCATACGTAGCAGGAAGTTGACTTTTTGACTTGTTTACAAATATTACAATCATCAATGTGTAGCACTCAGTTAGCTTGGGTAGCAAGATACTATAACTTGTGGTTAGCATAAGCAAACTTGGTGCCTGCTTGACAATCATGAATTTCTAACATTCATAACTAGTGGATAATTCATCCCTGCTTATCTAGTGTTGGTGAAGCTTGTAGTGTACGATAACATGAGATGGCTTGTATGAGACGTCATTTCTAAAATAAATCAATATAGACATATAGTCATTGTGGATTTGTGCCATATCACAATATTAAATATCCAATAAATTTTTTTTGAAGGGATTTCTGAAATAATACCAATGGATTCCCAAACAAGCGTTACATCCACAAATTCGACCCAAATGAAATGCAACCATGGTATCTTTGCACGTCTTTCAACCGTACGAAGGGGTACAAACTTAGGCAAGCGGTTTTTTGGATGTCCTTATTGGAGGGTATATGTTAACACTTGAATTTCTAAATTACCTTTTTTTTTTAATTTAATAATATTTTAAAGCCAAACTAATTTTATAATTCTTATTATTACAGGATCCAACAAGGGATTGTAAATTTTTCGCATGGGAAGATGCTGGGGAAAGCCAGGGTGGTGAAGACAAAATATTGCAATTAAGTCAGAGCAATGAAAATTTGCGCAAAGAAATTTCAAAACTGCGTCTTGAGTAACAAAGATTAACTAAACTAAACGAGTCTCTGTTTAAGCATAACATGACTCTAGCATCTAGGAACAACCTTGTTGTAATAGTGTTACTTATTTCAATAATTCTATACTCTGTGTTTATCATGTAATCGTGGATCTCGTATCTAGTTTATTCAATAATATTTGTTAATTATTGTTTCCTCATTAACAACTGATATTAAATTTTCCACATGTAAATAATCAATATATATATATATATATATATATATCGCACATACTTCATTACAATTTACTAATGTAATGTTTTTAGGGAATACAAAGTACAAGTAATTTAAGTAACGCTAGCTGGGGTACTAAGTAGAACTAACATTTGTTAAAGCGAAAGAAATAGTTTGCAAATCACAAAGACACTACCCACGAAACCTCAAGACAAGGGAACACATACAAATTGATTTATTGTAACATAATACTAGGTAATGGCATAATCATTGAGAATTTTTTAGTTGGCCACTCTGGACTCCATAGACAAGCTTCACATTTCTCCCTTTAGAACAAAGGACGCCTCGCAACGGGGTGACCCTGCCAAAATAAATCACTTATCTTTACATCTTTTATCATGGAATTGATAACCATACAAAATTGAGTATTATTTTTGCAATTACATATGAAGAATGTGTTGTGATTTTAATTTGTAGATTACCTTGAAATACGCATCAGCTTTCACAAAATCAGATTAGATGATCCTTTGGTCAATGGCTATAATTTCATTCCTCCATAGAGTGACCACACCACCACAAAGACCCTCGGGTGGGTAGAAAAAAACGCTATACTTTCCAGGTAGTGCACTAGCAAGCATTTGCACATTCTCTGAACTCTGTCTTGCCTCCAGCATTACCACAACACCCGGCCTATAGCGGTCATATACTTTTTGGAAATGTGCAACAAGAGATGGTCTTCCTAGACCTCGTACATTCCAGCAACATACATAGGTGTCTTTTGGCATAGGTATACAAGGCCCTTTAACAACATTAACAGCAGTTGCGCCCTGGAAGGGTGTGAAATCCACCTTATGGTAGCCCGGAACGATGTTGGTTTCTTTTTCAAATCCCACCCACACATGTAACACATGTGGGAAGATAGGAAGCTTGATAATTTGGAATGCGTCAGTGTACGTTACAATACAAAGCCGGACTCCAGTGTGTTCTAGTTCCACAACCTGGTGATTGAAGTTGATGACGGGCTTTGGATCAAGCACATGAAGCGCACGGGTAAGGTTGTTTGGGTTAAAACATTGGCCTAGACACCATCTCAAGAATATGTGGAATTCACTTCTCAATGGATAAATGTCATAGTAATTTGGAAGATGGGCAGGGTAGACTAAACCTTCACCTCCAACCCTACGCATCAAGAGATTGTTCAATAGATTTTGGTTGGGCCTAGAGGGATTCAAAATAAGAGAAGCAATAGTGTCACGGGAAACAACGGTGAAAGTGTTTGAATTGGCAGTGTCCCTAAGTAAGTACTCAAAGGTAGTGAAGTCCATCTCCGGAACAAGTCCGGTTGGTGGAGCAAAGAACAACATAACAAATGTACCGGATTGAGAAAGAGCACATCTTACCATGGTTATAAAAGTGATTTCAAGAAAGGATTTAGAAAAGGGGGGCTGAATGGAAGGAAATATGAGATGCTGGTAAAGCTTTTATAGGCAAATATATTCCATCATTACTTGGACTACAAGTTTCTTGTAGTCATGAACAAAGTCAAGATACATAAATTCCATCATTACTTGGACTACAAGTTTCGTGTAGTCATGAATAAAAAAACTGAAGTTAAATTTGAACAAAGTCGAGCGACTCATGAACAAAAGGTATATGATATGTGTAGTTATCAACATTATTTCAGAGAAAGTACGGTCCCAAATTTTTCACGTCACGATTTTTAATATTTCCCAAATTATTATTTTCCGGTTTTAGGTTTGGATTTAGGCCTAGTCCAATAAGATACGAAATTGAATAGCCTAGTTTTAAATACATAGTTTCTCGTGGTTAGTACAAATAAAAAACATAATTATTCCTTTGCTATATTATTTTATTTAAAAAACAAATTTACATGATTAAAATAATGTATACTTATTTGTACTAGTGATTCCAACGAGCCCTATGCGCGCGTTATAGCTAGCATGTTTATAAGAATTATTAAGGATGTTATCTATGTCCTATGCTAGTACATGTATAATATTTTATTAAACCTTTTTGCGTATAGACGATAAATGTTTTGGATATTGTGTATATGTGCAATGTTCTAAACTTTACTTGAGGCGTTGAGCTACTTTCAAATAACGCCCACACAAAGCAACAACCTTTCGTTACTGAATAATTCAGGTAGATGATGAACCATAATTACACATAGAAAAAATTAAATTTAATTATTCCATGCTTCATTTAATTTATATTTAATTATTTGGTGCTCTTAAGAAATATTACAGAATTACAATTGACGGTAACAAGGCAAAGATATATTTTGAGGGATATAAAGGTACGTTCTCTATCCCGTTATTTTGGTTCATTAGATGAATCACATTTTTACCCTGTTAACTCGGTTGATTTTGAGAGATCTTTATATAAAGGTAGGAAAAAGTGCTTTTATATTTCGATTAATTCGGTTTTTGAAAGGTCGATCCGATCCAATCAAAACATCCGATGACGTTTTCATTAATTCATTCAAAGACTCATCGAATTTGACCTGGGGGTGTATATGAATTCATGTTGATTTTACTTGAGTAAAATGTATATAATAGTATTGACAATGTTCAATTATTTTTTTCCATCCTCACCAAACTAAATTTTGTCATTTATTATATGCAAACATTTGCCATTACCGAAATTTTATTTTATAATTGTTCCTTTTGATACCTAGATAAATTTTATTTTATTCAAAGGTTCTCTTATGTTAAAAAATGTACATTCCATAGGTAATTGGGCCTTATTCACGTGTCAATTTAATAATTTTATGATTAATTACTAAGCATACTAAAAATTCTAATCATAGAGTTCAGATCATGATCCCAAACAAATGAGCACTGCAACACACAGGTGCGTATTATGGCCCTTTCCAGTTTCCACTACCTAAATGGGCCGAACCAATTACACTTTATGAGGATACATCATCGAAGATGAATGTTGTCATGCCGCCAGGCCACTTCATCAACTAAAAAACCTATAATACATATTACATACAAACCGTTCAAATGATACTCATATTTAAAGTATTTGTTGACTTCACAAATGAAGAACATAAATCATATAAAGAACCAGCTCATATTGGAACCTATGCTTATATCATGGGGAAGTGGTATAATCTCCATCTTCACCCTTGGCTGTTAAACTGTCGGTTACATACTTAGAGCTCCAGCGGTTAGAGCGCAAGTCATCACGCCTCCTTCTATTCCTAGCACACACCACCTGTTTGGAGACGTCCTACATCAAACACACAAGCAACCCTTTTGTCATACCTTGATTTATTCAGAGAACATATTAATCCTAATGAGGAAAACCATTGAACAACAATCACTCACTTCATACAATGGATAATCTGGGGGTGCTACTGTGTCCCGCGCCTCTCTAGGGTGCCTTTCCCCGTATGCGGCATCCAACATCTGATAACATTATAACATTTACTTTATTATGACCAGAATATAATATGGAGACACATGATATCAAAACATTATACTTTATGGTACACAATACTTTACTCCATTTAGAATTAATTATACAACTTACCCCTAATTTGCCATAGTCCCCTGACCTTAATCAGTCACGCTTTGCAGCAATGCCTATCTGCTTCATGTCCCAAGCCTTTATTCTTGGGTACGTTTCCAATTTGATAGGCTCCCAATTGAGTCGGTCAAGGTAGAACAACTTCTCCAGATATTAGACAACTCGTTAGGCTTTGTTATATTAACAATAGATCGTAGATTTAAGCACAAAACAAAATTATTATACTCGTGAAATGAATGGTACTTACAACAACAAAAATAGAGCAACCACCGCATCCTCCTGCAAAACCATTCGCATAAAAACGCCTAGCAAAGCTTGACACATTGTCCATTAATTTAGCAAGTACCAACTCACACCAATCATATTGACTACTATCCATGGCACATCCAATAGCCGGTAACAAATCGTGAGGTAATCTTGGTGATTGTGTTGGACATAAAATCATCTGCAGGGCTATAATCAAGAACAAAGTCTTAAAGTCTTCTTCTTGGTCTTCTTCAAAATAGCCTTCCAACTTATCCATCATCGCAACAGTGACTTGAATGCCTACAGATGTGTACGACCTACCCAATTTTGTTGCTGGTTTGGTCTCCCATGTCCTACCATATTTTAATAATATGGTTTGTACCTTATCGCGTAGAGTAACAGACATTCCTTTTGTAGACGGTACCACATTTGATCCACAAGGGATTCCTAAAACCCAACAAACTTGGTTTTTAGAGAAAGGAAATACCCGACCATCTGTGCCTATAAAGACCCTACTCATTGGATCAATTCGGGTCATTCCCAATAAGCTAATTGTCTTGGTAAATGCATATCCTTGGCAAAATGAAGCAATCCCCCGAATCCCATCTCACCAACCCATCTTGTCTTTCTATCATCAAATTTTTGACAAATTCTCCCAAATGACTCAACCCGACAGTTCATATTAGGAGGCTGGACATATAGTTAAGCAAATTATATTTATTTTCATAACAATAACAAGGGAATTTTAAATATAAATAAAGTGAAATCAGTATGTCTCACTAACCCGCCGAATAGACTTAGAATATTCCCGTATCACCATCTTTCTGCCTTTCACATATCCACCAACACTTAAGGCATTATCCTAGATATGACACATATCCGAATTCAAACGATGTTTAAACCAATCACATTATGTTTCCTAATTAAAATAGCATGATAAAATTATATACCTTAAACAATTCGGGATATATGTGTATACTTTTTGAAGGCAATCCAAGTGCAATTGGCACCTGTAAATTATAATGTCCTTAAATAATTGCATCCCACCATCTTTTAATGGTTATACGTATCAATATACTACTGCAATTGCGGAATTACGTACAGAACATAAACATATTTTAAGCTAACAATGTGAAAGTGTACTTATCAAAAGCATACTCCAATTATCAATAACAACTATCAAAAGCAGAAATTGGAGGGATAAATAATTTATAAACACAGGACCAATTAATTTTTGATCAATTAAAATGTATATAAAAACACAGGAACAATTGATTTATGATCAATTACAATGTTTATGAGAACACTGGATAATAAGCATACAAAAATCAATTAAATTTTGTTTCAATTAAAACACAGGAGCAATTAGAATTGGATAAGAAGCATACAAAGAGCCTTACATAGTCGTTGTCGTCTTGCGAATCAGATTCATGTACTATGGTTGGCGATCTGGGTTGATATCCCAATTCATCTTCAGTTTTCCGTTGGACGCCGATTTGTTGAATCAGGGACTTGCACCGGAGACGTTTTCCAAGTGGATTGAGAGACATGGTTACCACAAATCCTGCGGGCAGAAGGGAGTGTAAGATCAAGACCTTGATAGTGGAGAAGAGGTGTTTAATGATTCCAAAATTACCGCTCAAAATTTTTGGAATGAAAATCAAACCCTAAGTTTGTCGGCAGTGATGTTTCTAACGGGAAGACTAGCTGCAAGAAGTTTGATAAACCGTGGAAATAACGTCGTCTTACTCCAAGTCATTGAGTACGTGGAGGGAGTTCCAGGTCAAGTTTTGTAGTTTGCTGTAAATTGACGAGCATAGCCTTCAGTAATGCATGGGAAAAGTGTAGACACCTAAAAATGTCTCCCCAAAACCAAACCCAATGATAAATAACATTTCACCGCTACTATTGGTCGGGTTTAGTATTTAATCCCGAAAGTGCTTAAAAAATCGTATTAAATTCATATTTTTAAACGGTCCATGGATTAGTCTTGATGTTTGGTAAAAGCATAGTTTTAATTTCAGCTCAAACTTATTAATTAATTTTAAGCCCAAACCTTTTTTATTTTATTATTTATTTTTGGCCCAAACATTTTTATTATTTTATTTAATTATTTTCTTATTTTAGCCCGAATAATAAAAGTCAGAAAAAAGCCCGAAATTATCAATCGGCACTAAAAAAGCCGAAAGAAATTAGGGTTAAAAATGAATTTAGAAGGAAAAATGGACTGGAAGTTCCCGCGTCACGGCATACTGCCACCGTGTCACGGGAACCCTTCCCGTCTGACGGTGGGACTTCCCGTGACACGGGAAGTCTGTCGTGACATGGGACGTTCCGTGTCCTTTCCGCGTAAACCCTTAACGCGTTTTTCATCCCGTTTTCTGAAAATTTCCCGCGTCACTCCAAAACTGTACCGTGTCACGGAAAGTGTACCGTCTGACGGTACAGTCTGACCGTGTCACGGTACAGTCTGACCGTGTCACGGTACAGTCTGACCGTGTCACGGTACAGTCTGACCGTGTCACGGGATACTTTTTTTAGGGTTTTTATCATTTTAAGATTCCGTGTGCTCCCTCAGCACATTTTCCCTATAAATACCCCCTCATTTCTGATGTACGGGGCAACCAGAATTTTATTATTTTTATTTTCTCTCTTCTATGCTATTAACCTAAACACTAGCCTCCCTTTTTTACTTCAAAATTCCTTCTTCAAGCACTCAAAGGAGTCCATATTTTACTCGAGGTTCTGTCCTTAAGCCAAGCCGTGAAAGGTAGAATTGTTTGAGGGTTTGGCCCCAAAATCAACCTTATTTTATTTAATTTAATTTAGTTATTGTTTTATTATTTCCTTGAATTTACTAACTCGTTTATTATTTTGTAGTTGCAAGCAAACAGATTCAAAGTAAGGATCATGCTCTTTTTATTATTATTATTTTTTCTAACGACTTTTATGTTGTTGGAATTGTGGTTAAATTGGTTTTAATATTAATGTTGTTCTATAATTGTTATGATCACCATATTGCATGTTTAAAGGGAATATGTAATTGAAAATCACGCCGAATAAGATAATTTGGACAACCGGTTTAGGATCCTTTTTAATCTTATTATTAATTGAAGTGATCACCAAATTTTTAGAATTATGTGTGCATTAATTTTGAACCAATTTAGTTAAATAATAGTTTGGAGCGAATTGAATTATTGTTTGTATGCCTTTGAGATCGCAGGAATCACTTTTCACTATAAGAATCAAGTAGAGGTCAATACGGGCGAATGTGACTCCATGACTCACTTCGTACCATCATCCCCGATCCTCCTTTCATGGTTCCGAACCATACGGAGTTAGTAATCTCATGGATTATGAATGGGGTGTAACCTTCACAGGTCAATCGTTGTTGCCTATCGTTGTCCCTTATTCGTGGTTGCCTTTTATGATCCGTCAACCGTTTACAAGTTCCTTAAAAACTTGTTGGCGACTCCCTACTTTATTTGTCCCTAATCGTTGTCCCTAATCGTAATGTCAATTCCCACTTCCTATGAGTGTCAAGCATATTCACCACATGCTTTTTACGTAGGCGCACTTCGAGCGACGCCTACAATTTGGCGACTCCACTAGGGAGGATTCTTAATTATTTATCGATTTGAGTGATCGGTATTTAATTAAGATGAGTGGATGAGACTTGAAAGATTCTTGAAAAAATATTCCTGTGATTAATTTGGCATTTTTGCATCTGCATAGAAGTTTTAATGTCGCGTTCAGGTCTGTCCCGTAGGAAAAATTGGATAACTTGGTTGCGCGCAAAAGAAAACAGGGCACCAGTCAGATTTTCTGACTGCCGTGCCACAACAGAATCTGCCATGTCACGGTACAGTGCACCGTCGGTGCACAGTACCGTGACACGGGAATTTCTGCCGTGTCACAGCAGTCCTAAATCAGTCCGGTGGCTTATTTTCTTTTCTCACAGTCGACTTCCTTCGATTTTTCTGAAAAAACGTATGTGTTCTACATGCGTCTTAGCCCCGGGGGATTTAAGCTCTATCGACCCAAAAACGCTCATGGCCATAAGGGTTCATCTGAGTTTTTTTTAAATCCACTCAAACCATGGAGTCGAGTTCGATTTCATCACGAACTCGCGGAGCCGCCCGTTGGCATACACCCTCAAGGGATGCTGCCTTGCTAACGCGTCCAAACTCTTAACCATGGTACCCTTTTGACACCCAAAGCTTGACCAATAGTTGAACATAGATCTCGACTCTAGGTTGTGAATTTTTTTTTATCATTGTGCCTAAATGCTACGTGGTTGTTTGGTGCTAACCCTCATGTGTTTGCTCTTTTGTTTAACCCATGACCGGGGGTTTTTATCCTCACATAGTAATTAATACGGACCTAAAATCGATTAAAATCTGAAAAAATCACAAAACTGACCTGGAACTGCGCACCGTGTCACGGCATGTTCTGCCGCGCCACGGTGAACAGTGCCGTGACACGGGGAAGTCTATCATCTGACGGAAGACTGTACCTTGTCACGACAGTCTGCACCGTGACACGGTGCCCAGGAAAGTGTCCTGTTAGTCTTTTTTTTCGATTTTTGTGCGAATGCTGTGACCAGTTTTCTGTCGTGTCTAGCTATACGCTCAAAACACGCGTCTATAACCTCACCTAATCACTCACATATCATGTTCACGCAATTTTTTTTTTAGTCGTGCACCACTTTTTGACCGTATTTTAGGGAAGTCTCATTTTTGTGTCGATTTTTTTCGGAGTAAGTCGGATGTATCCTCCCATGTTTTTTTTAAAAAAAATAATAAGTAGATATAAAAAAAAAATTCTTTTTTTAATCCGGATAGGTTAAGGTTAAGTTTGGTCATTAAAGGTGTGTTTGTTTCGGTGTCACAGCACTTGGTCAAGAAGCAGGGGTAGATTGTTACGGTTCGAGTCCATACCTCAACAACCTCTTATACCAAAGAGGCGTACAAGGAAACCACCTCAATCATCTCCACAATATCCATCTCCAGTCTACTTTCAACCAATGGCCACTAAGGAAGACATCGAGAACCTCAATAGGACAATTGAAAGATTGTCTGACATGATGCAGACACTCACCACTAGAGTCAGCACTGTAGAACAAGACAATCAGAACAATTTCACTACTGCTGCAATGGACAAGATTAAGGAACAGATGAGCAAGATTTCTGAAGAGTTCACTTATGTGGAACAACCTGTCGCCTCTTCGTCTATAAGAGACAAGCTTCCTGAGAAGTTTTCCACTGCTGACATTCCCAAATTCAAGCCTACTGATAATCCGCTTTTCCATTTGAAGGTTTTTTCTGCAACTATGGCTCTTAAGGGAGTAGATGTGACACTCTTCCCTACCGTGTTCCCTCTTTCCTTAGAGCATGCCTGTCAACAGTGGTTCTATTCTTTGGAATCCAAACATGTCACGACTTGGGAGGATGTTGTTGAAAGCATCATGAATCGTTACAAGTGTAACATCCAGGCCAAGACTTCTGAACGTGAACTCTCCATTCTCAAACAGAAAGAGAATGAAGGCTTCACCACTTACTTAAGCAGGTGGAGGGAAACAGCTGCACTCTTGGTGGATCCCCCCAAGGAGAAAGAAATGGTTCGCTTGTTCATTGCCAATCTGACTCATAAGTACAAGCAACACTTGAAGTTTTTGCCTCTGAGTACCTTTGACGCTGTATACGATATTGGAATCAATATCGAAGATGAACTGATGAAGTCTGTTAGTAGCAACAATAACAACAACACTTGGAAAAACAAGAAGAACGACACTCCTTCTTCTTCGTCTTCTAAGCCCAATAATGCTACCAACAATATCAACATCAATGATGTGCTGGCCCTTAATGCTCCTCCTCAAGGATTCCAAAGGCAAAGGAGGGTTTATACGCCTTTGGGAATGACTTATGATGCTGCTTATGACCGTTTGCATGGTCAGGGATTGATTATGCCAATCGGACCATTTCCAGAACCTCGACATGAGAATAGGACCGCTAGCTATGACCCCAATGCTTATTGCAAGTATCATCAAGGCAAGGGTCATAACACTGAGAAGTGTTGGAGGCTGAAAGATGCAATCCAAGACCTGATTGATGCTAACCAACTTCCTGTCCCTCCAGGGGGCAAGAAGCCTAACATTCAAACAGGTCCTATTTTTGATGCTTTGGCTATCATGGGAGATGAAGTCTCCTTTGATCCGTCAATACTCATTCAACCTATGAATGAACCTCTACCGGAAGTTGTATTTATCTCAAGTACTGAAGAAGTGAATGGGATCTGGGATAGTGATGATGAAGACGTCTATCTCAAAGACATAGCTTGTTCATCTCTCGGCACCAGTGAAGATGTTTAGGGGGACTTGGAGGTCAAGGTTCTCACCAGAAGTGGACGGTTGCAACAACCTAACCCACCTCCACCTCCACCACATCCGATAATTGATCCCATCGACCCTGTGAATAGCGATGTGGTCAAAAAACTGCAAAAGACCAAGGTGGAGATGAATGTATGGAAGCTTTTGGCCACTTCCATCGAGCATCGAAAGGCTGTGATGAATGCTCTGGTGAAAATAGGAGTCGATGATGACATGACTCCTCAAGGATTGGTCAACTTTCTCACTACTAAGCTGCCGAGTATTAGCAATCTGATTTCCTTTTCTGATAAGGATCTACCCCCGGAAGGGGACCAACATAATAAGGCCTTACACCTCACTGTAGTGTGTAGGCAGATGAATGTTCCCATGAGC